AATGCAGTAGCAGCGTATGTGGGTCTGTGGAGGTTGAAAGGGACTTGGTAGGAGTCAGGAAGGTAGTGGCCATCCTGCTGGGCTTTTAAAGGGTCTGAAGAAGTGACAGGATGCTGTGGTTGAATCCTAGCATGTATGTTAGTATTTGTTCATTTGGAGTTTGATTATTTCTTGTTGTTTTCATTTGCCACTACCTGGAAAGCCAAGGGCTCTACTCTCATTTCCCTTCTGCTCTTTCTTTGCCTTCCTTGGTCCATAAAGAGGATGGTCCAGGAGAAGCTCATTCCATGCTTGTTAACCAGGCACATCCCTAAGTTCCAGTCCCTGAGTCATTCATGAGTAGCACCACTATGAACTGACAGCCATGCTGTGTCCTTCCACATCACCTAGGTGACTCCTTCGAGCCTTCCAGAAAGTGGGCGAGAAGGAAGCCCTACTCTACCACCACGGTAAAGTAGCCTGTCTTTGCCTAAGATGTAAATGTTGTTTTCTTGGTTCCCTTATTTTTCAGTTGATATCAGCTATGGGAAAATTATCCAGTACATTATAGCTGTTAGCTAATATTTCCTTGGGAATGGAGGAGGTGTATCTTACCAACTGACACCTGATTCCAGAGGACATACAACATTGGCAGTGTCAGATAGTACATTGTGTGTTAAGGGATATTTTCTTCAGGAACAAGCTTTCCACTTTAGATAAGAATTCTGTAATTGCTACCCCAAAATTATCTAGACAGAAACATTCTTTAAGAAAACTCCTGTGCTTTCCTACGGGAACTCTACTCTAGAGTTGGGGCTTTTGACTTGAACATTCTTTCCCATCTTGGTTACCCAGAGTTTCCAAGTGAACAAAAGACCTGTGCGAGCCATCCATAGCATGGCCTGATTCTCAGAGTGTTTTCCTTCTCTAATTACAGGTGACTTCAGGGAGCACATTCAATGGTACGTATTCTGGAATCGCTCACTGGCTGTGAGAAAAAGATTCTGTAGGAAATGTGGAGCCTAA